GTGTTTATTAGTCTTTGTTTAGTGTTGTCGATTTTACCAGTTGCTACAACAGTTGATAACATCAGCATTTCACACCCGAAAGGTCAAAACCTCACAAATTAGGGAATAGAAACTTAATGGTGAAAAAATGTTTGGCTGACTCAGGTCCAGACGTTAGTGAACCCTTGAGGCCAAACCACCTTCAAGTATCTGAAATTGCTGTTTAAATTCTTAATAAAAGCCTTCAGTATAAATGGAATAATAAAGTGTTACTTTTGCAAAAGTAAAACACACCCAGGTAGGCTTCAGTTTCACATTACTTCCTTATTATTTCTCGTGAAATGTCATATCAGTTCAGCAGCTATACAGTCAGCATTTTATTTCACATTATCTCCTAGAGTTGATTAGGACAGATGAATAAATCCATTTACTGCGTCACCCTAATAATCAGAAACCTATTTCTGAATGTAAATACTTCAGGGGTTTTGAAACATACCTTCAACATTGGATCACATCTGCCTGCTTTCCTCCAGGATGACAGCGTCTTAAAGGAGATTGACATCAGCCACCATGTGAAGGAAGGCTGTGAGAAAGCTGATCCATCACAGTTCCAGCTGCTCAAAGTGCTGGGACAGGGCTCCTACGGAAAGGTATGGGAAACTCTTTAGCTTCAACTCATAACCACAAAACACATTCTGTGTAACAATATAACATACAAGCTGAGAGTCTGGTTACTAAACATCCAGTGACATCATGTTACTTATTTAGCCCTTTTTCTTTAAAGGAAGAGTGGTACCATCAGTGTAGGGATGACTGTGATGACGACGATGACGGTGATAATGATAATGACTTTTATAATGATGACAGTGATTGTTGTGAGGATGATGAAGATGACTAGAAGGATGAAGATGGTGGTGATGATTTACATAATGATAATGATGATGAGGAGGATGATGATCACCGTGATGATGGTCCTGTGGAAATTGATGATGATGATGGGGATAATGATGATAACTATTAAGATGATAATTGTCAGAGTGATGAAGATTATGGTCATGGTGGTAATAATGATAATTTTGATGATGATGATGATGACTCCTCAGGTGTTTCTGGTGAGGAAGATCAGGGGAGCAGACAGGGGACAGCTATATGCCATGAAGGTCCTTAAAAAAGCCACACTGAAAGGTAAAACTTTGAACAGTTTGAGATGTTAATTGATTAAATTTTTTCTGATAGACGTTGTGTATAGAGAATGTTTAATTATTAAAGGTTTTCATTTAGAGTTTCTACGTTTTTTCATCTAAAGCTTGATTTGAAGTGAGAATTTGAGGGGTTTAACAAACCCTAAGAGATTTTAGGCAAACCTTTTCTTTTTGATGTGGATTACATGGTGTTAAATGAATGTGACCTGACAGTTGGTGAGTCAGTGTCTTTGTAGATGCTTTAATCCTCTTAACCTGTGCCCCTGGACTTTAGAAGGTTCTGGTCTCATCCAGTCAGGTAAACAGGAACTGCAATAACTCAATGAGTGTCATCAGATCAGACCTGCAACACTGTGACTCCAACGTACTGTAGTTTAATACATTTTTCTTTAATTTAAGTGAACACTCCAGCTGCCTCCATAAGTGAATTGAAACATAAATAGGCTACATGTGTTAGGAGCCTTGTCACTGCTTATTTACACTGTCATTAGCAGATTACATTTTCTCCGCTCTCTCCTGTTCAGTTAGGGACCGTGTTCGATCCAAGATGGAGAGAGACATTCTGGCAGAAGTCAACCATCCGTTTATAGTTAAACTACACTACGGTACGTTTGTTTCTTTTATAATTTATGAGAAATCATTGGGAGATTTTGATGTTAAATTGAATTGACATTATATGACCTACAGTAACTTTGTAATGTTAAGATGATTACAGATGATGACAGTAAAAAAGCTAAAAATAATTGAAGTCAGGAGCGAAGAATTGTAAATATAAACAGAGAAGGCAGCTAACGGGCAGATAGTACTAAACATTAATTGATGATGATAAATAAAGACAGCAAGAATAAGAAATAAAATGCAGCAAAAAAGATTATTTAGCTAAATAGCTTAAATTACCTAAAGTCAAATAGCAGACAAAGAAGGCTAAGTATTTAGCAAGAAAGCTGTAAATTAGCTTGCTTAAAATAAGGAGAGGGTAGCCTATGGAATGGAAAGAAGTTAGCCTACCAAAAAATTAAAAGCTAGCTAAAACAGGTAACAGTAATAGAAAAAACTAATGCACACATAAAGCCACATTCAAAAAGGTAAAACATCGCTAAAATAGTTTAAACCTAGCCAAATAGACAGCTGCGGGTTAAGCTAAAATATATGCTAAAAGCTTACACTTACCCACGATAGGTTAGCCAAAGAATAGCTAGTAAAAAGTGTTTCTCTTTCTCTCTCTGTGTGTGTAAAAGCATTCCAGACAGAAGGAAAGCTCTACCTGATTCTGGACTTCCTGCGAGGTGGAGACCTTTTCACTCGTCTGTCAAAGGAGGTAAGTTTGTAGCTGATGTGATATTTTGCTGCTAAATAAAAACACAGCCTGACCTAACAGTACAAAAACATTGCTGTGAGATAATGTCAACCCCAGCCACAGACTTTATAACATTTAGCCTGGGAGCTAATGAGCCATTAGCTCCCAGGCTAAGGGTAGCAAAGTGAAGGCTTGGTAAAAATAATATAATAATAACATAATTCCTCTGTTTTTTGGTAGTAAATGTGTTAGTTTAATTGGATATTGTTAAGTTAACTTACATGTTACAACATTTTAACAAGATGGATTTTATACATACAACTTTGGTCTGGTAAAACAGTCAATTTTAATACATTTTTAGCCCATTCAGTGTTATATTCAGATTCTGTTTGTATCTTGTTGCTTGTATTTTGGTATAAACAAACTTCTAATGGGCATCTTTCTCAAATGTAGGTCATGTTCACAGAGGAGGACGTGAAGTTTTACCTTGCAGAATTGGCTCTGGCTCTGGACCATCTGCACAGTCTGGGCATCATCTACAGGGACCTGAAACCTGAAAAGTACCGTCACACTAAGCCTTTATCTGGTCTTTATTTTTAGATTTAAAACTGTCGTCGTTTCCAAATGTACATTTTAATTCATTTTCAATCGACAGTATTCTGCTGGATGACGAAGGACATATTAAAATAACAGGTAAATTTATTCAACTAAAAATTTCATGAACTTATCTTGCACTTTCATTCATCATATAAACTTAAAGCTTTTATCAGCCTCACATTCAAATCGTGTCTCTTCTTTTATGACCTTCTCCCACTGCCTGTTCTCACATTTAGATTTTGGCCTGAGCAAAGAGGCCATCGACCACGACAAAAGAGCGTACTCCTTCTGTGGAACCATAGAATACATGGCTCCAGAGGTGGTGAACAGGAGAGGACATACACAGAGTGCAGACTGGTGGTCTTTTGGAGTTTTAATGGTAAGAACCAACAATTAAAAAAATAAAAATGTAGTTTTATTTTTAAACAATGAATAATCTGTTGCCAGATTGCCAGAGCAGAATTACAAATAACAGCAAGTAGATGCATGGGTCTCACATCTGTTCCAGTTAACCATGTTAATTAACCCAATTAACATGTTAAATTTTTGCAGCCCTCACGAGAACATCACAGAGTCTGTAGTCCAGTTCCACTTGAACTTTATTTCTATTCTGTTCTCGTCTGTTTAAATTAAATCTAGATGGAATGCCATGGTACTGCTTATCTGGTTGGCGATTTTGTCAGGAGTTTAGCTGCCTAATTGCTTTCATCTGCCGTATCATTGTCACCGATAAAGCATCTGTGTGATCTGGCTTGTTAGTTAGTGCAGCAGCTTATTGGACATGCACAGAGAAACAGAGATTCTCGTTCAGTGACAGCTGGCAGCTCAGCCGGAGCTTCAGTGAAAGGTGTCACCACTGTCTGCTCTCAGCAAGATGTTACAAATATACCCTATATTTAATACACCGTGTGTGTGTGTGCGTACCAGCTGTAGCTATAGTTGTGGGGACGCAACTGTTGTGGGGACATTTTGCAGGTTTCCTCTGAGTGAGATGGTTTTTGTTTTTTGATTTTTGGAGAAATACAAGATGAGACAATATATATAATTTGTAGAAATATTCCTAGTAATATTGATAAATACTACATATTGGCAGAAAAGGTGAAAGTCTGTGGAAAATGGTTAATTCATGGAAATACTTTCTGGGTTAATATTAATTTGCTGCAGGTTTTCTTCCAATGATATATTTCTATTTGTTTGTGGTGATTTTTTTGTCTTTCACTCACTCATTCAAAGTCATGTGACGTGTTTATGTGTTTCTCCAGTTTGAGATGTTAACTGGGTCGTTACCTTTCCAAGGAAAAGATCGCAAGGAGACGATGGCACTTATCCTGAAGTAAGACAACTTTAAATTTTACTGTTGTTTAAAAATTAAATCTAGCAGCTTCTACAAAGATGCTAATGTTCTTATGGCATTAAAGGTTTGATTTACCATATACCATCTTCATTTTATGCAAATTAACGAACGATTTGTAATGAAACCCTATTTTCAATTTCCATATTTATATTTAATAATAACCTTAAGTGCTGAATGTGTTCTGTGTACAGGGCTAAGTTAGGGATGCCTCAGTTCCTCAGTCCTGAGGTGCAGAGTTTACTAAGAGCACTCTTCAAGAGGAACCCTGCAAACCGCCTGGGTACTGTATCCACACGTAATTCATACATTGGTAGAAAAAAAATTACTCTTTCTTTTTAACAACAGTTTATTGTTTAACATCAGATTCATGATATTGTGAACCTGGCTGTGTTGCAAAATTACAAAAGTGATTTTAAAAAATTAACAATAAAAAATCGAAAAAAAATGTAGTCTGGAGTGGCAGCGAAGTACCTGATGGCGGTGCATGAAGTTTTATCAATAAAGTAGCAGTACCATTAAAGATTTTTTCGGACACTGCATCTAAATATACAATTATATATTATATATTAAATATACAACTTTAACCACTGATGATGAGACTGAAATCTTGCAGTCTATTTCAGTTCAGTCCAGTCCGGTCTGTGTACAACAACAAATACAGTACACTGTTGTTCTGTGTGGTTTATATTTTATAGGTGCAGGACCAGATGGAGTTGAGGAAATAAAAAGACATCGCTTCTTTGCTTCGATAGACTGGAACGTAAGCATAAATAATCTGGGTGCTAAGACACTTCTGGTCACACAGCTTCAGCCATCTGCTGTTACACGCTGGCGTTCAGCCATTGTTCTGCATTGTGATGCTTCTGTTTGACCCAGTGTGCTATATCTGAGTCAAGTCTTCTCCTCCTCCTGTCTCTCAGAGTAATAATCACCGCTATTATCGTCAACTCACTGACTGCCAAACACAACATAATGCAGTCTGCAGATGGTGTTACTGGTTGGATGTGTAGAATATGAGTTTTTCCCCCTTCATACTAATTCACTCAGTGGACTTCATGGGGCAGAACGACACCTCTGTGCGTCGTCGTCTTCACAATCTGGCTGTGAATCCTTTCTCCTCTGACCTCAAATTGACAATTAAAATTTCGACTTGGAAGCAAATTCCGCTGTAAAACAGAGACGAGCGAGAGAAGCAGCAGCTTCACCAATCACAGGGGAGGAAAACAATTAAAGAGATCGACTGTGAACCAATAAAATCTGACGTTAGTGTACTAACAGTGTGAATATCATTAAACCTTCGTATTCAGACTTTGAACAAGCGACGCTGCAAGGCTGACACCTGCTGGTCATATTTGAAAATACACGTAGACTACAGGACTTTCTGGGTTATGGGCCGGTTTTTCTGTGAGGCACAGTCTCACAGACAGGTTGTCCAAGTTCAGTAGTAAGAATATTACCGATAATTAATATAAAGAAGGTAGAACTGCAGTAATTTATAATGTATGACATTTTACATAATAAATTCACAAGGGCTGTCCAAGAACTTAAACAATTCTATTTGATTAATTGGAGAGGAATAATCACAATTAATCATAATTAATTGTGGTTCTATTCAATCATGATAAATCACGATTATTTGTAATTAGTTAACAGTCTCAAAGTGACAAAAAAAAAAGTGTATTCCCATATATTGGTGAAACAAATGACAGCTCATTTTACCTGAAGTTGAAGCCTCTACAAATGCATGCTGGGAATTGAGATGGTATCTTGATCCAGAGGTGTAAAAAGAATGGATGGAACAGTGTGACTAGAAGTGACTAGTTAGGAACATGAAGCTTTTCATGTTTATTTACTTTTTCATTATTTGGTTGTTTTTTTTTTCTTGGTAGAAGTTGTACAAGAAGGAAGTAAGGCCTCCCTTTAAACCCACTGTTGGACGACCTGAAGACACTTTTCACTTTGATCCTGAATTCACCTCCAGAACACCAACTGGTAACTTCAACTGAACACTGCACACACTGTTCTGTTTTTATAGAAAAAAAACAACAACAACTGTGTGAAGCTGTTGTGTTGATGTGTGCGTGTCTTTACTTCTGTCTAACTCCAGATTCTCCAGGAATCCCTCCCAGTGCTAACACCCACCAGTTGTTTCGTGGTTTCAGCTTTGTTGCAACTCATCAAAGTCAGGAGCCGAGTGTGGCTGCAATCACGACTTCTCGTCAGGAAGTGAAGAACATGGAACCGATAGGACAGGTACCAAAGACTTAAAGAACAGGTGTCTAAATGGTTTGTAAATATGATGTAAATATGAATATGATGTTTGGAAATATGATTGTTCTTTTGGTAATGTATTTGAACACAGATTCAATGACGTAAAATACACGACGGACTACTGCTTCCTGTGTGATACAAGTCATGCGATTTCTATCGCTATTGTTCTTTTGGTAATGTATTTGAACAAAAAACCAAAAGTCATACAGTTTGAACAGTTTTCTACAGAGCAATACATTTTTATAGTCATAGTCAAGTCAAATACTTTTTTAACATTCCCTCTCTTTACATGTGTATTTTCATACACAACAGCATCTTCGCGGTGATGTGTCCTTCAGCGACGTCTATGAACTGACTGAAGACGTGGGACAGACTGTGTCTTGTGTCCGCAGGACATGTCTGCACAAAGTAACAGCTGTGGAGTATTCAGTTAAGGTATGTGATGTCAGAACTGTAAATACTTAGAAAATAACCACATCAGGGTTTGTGCAAAGAAACAGGAAGAAACTGAAAATACTGATGTGCACAACTGTGTTGTGTACACAGAGTTATACTCCAATATATGTACTTTCCTATTACATTAAATACCTTAAGTATTTTAAAAACAATCAACATTTTAGTAGCAAATACACTACAGTATACATTTTAATACAGTGGTTCTCAAAATATGGTTAGCATATTACTGGTGGTATGAAATAATTCCTATTAGGTTTAGATGAGTCACCTAATAATATGACTTCCTCACATTGTGATTGACAGCTGCGATCACTCCCCCAACTGTGCATGTGATCAGGAAAAATAAAACGTCAATCTGTCCAATGATCTACTACTTGTAAAAAAAAAAGTCTATAAAAGTCTATAAAAATATGTACTTTTGGATAAGTTATGAAATTTAGTACTTTGTTGTACTGCTTTTTGTCTCATGTCTTTGTCAGATCGTCGACAGAGTGAAAAAAGATCTGTCCGAGGAGATTGAGATTCTGCTCAGATACGGACACCATCCAAATATCATTTCACTGAAAGACGTATGATTCACACACACACAAACACATGCACACACACATGCACACACACAGACACACACGCAAACAGACACACCTGACACTGAAATCAGACACCAGACGGATGTGAAGAACATCATGAACCGTACCGTTTTATACCTGCCGTAGTAAGGACTTCCTTGTCTCCATTTTGCATTTGTCCGCAGGTTTTTGACGATGGTCAGCGCGTGTTCCTGGTTCAAGATTCACTGAGAGGGGGCCAGCTGCTGGACAGAGTTCTGACCCAGGCAGACTTTACAGAGAGAGAAGCGTCAGACATCATCTGCACACTGGCCAAAACAGTGGAATTCTTACACTCAGTGGGGGTGAGACAGCAGGACAGGAGGGCAGAAGTCTCACAACGAGATAGAAACCAGGGCTCAAATTAGTCGGTCAATGGATTAATATGACATTCAAACAATTATTATATTATTTATTATGACTGCAGGACTAAAACTCACCTAAAGCACTCACCTAAAGTATAACAATTTTTTGGTGATTTAAATTCTCACATTTTTTTCTACTTTTCTCAGAGTACTTTAGTTTAATTTTTATAATAACCTTAAGAGAACTATAAAAAATATAAAAGTTTTTTGCTACATTTGGCCATTGACATCAACTTATAATTATGCTAACATAAATACTTTCTTTATTTCTCAAAATGTTAGCATTAACATTACTTATATTTATATAGCTATGGTTCTTATAATCCATTAAAATGGTTCTTATTATTGTATAAGTACCATTACAGAAGTAATTTTCAGAGATACTTTGCTGTTTTTTTTACTTTGTACATAACTACAACTTTTACAGCTTTTAGGGCTGAAATGATCATTTTGCTATTTTTTTGTGTTTTTGTCATCGATAGTGATATTCTTCTTGTGAGGATTTTATCTATATAGTTTGGTTTTATTTTTAACACTTTTTCCGTCTTTCATTATATTTTGCTAAAAAAAAATACATAGATCTTTCCTGGGAACATCAAACGTCAGTGTTTTTTGCCCACTTTTCCAGGTTGTGCATCGCGACCTGACACCCAGTAACATATGTTACTCTGACGACAGCGGGCGGCCGGACTGCATCGCAATCTGCGATTTTGGATCTGCCAAACAGCTGAGAGCAGACAATGGCTTGTTGATGACTCCTTGTTACACTGCGACGTTCATGGCTCCCGAGGTGAAGTGTGTCAGTAAAGGTTGTCACATTTTAAAATGACACCAAGTCTGCCATTCTGACTCTTGTGTTTGTAGGTCCTAAAGAAACAGGACCACGACGCAGCATTTGACATCTGGAGTCTCGGTGTCCTGCTTTACACCATGATTGCAGGGTGAGTGCACTTTATAATAAGATATATATATATATATATATA